TCAAGTCTGCATGGATTCTGTACGTTTCTCAATTCGAAGGGGGACTCGCGATCAGGAGCCTTGATTTTGACAATCTGGAGCGTGAAGATGTACCTAGATTCGCCTCATTTAGTCTCGGTCGCATCCCTGTTCCTATGTCATGTGGTCAATGCAGCTCCGATACACTGATGAGACCTCCATCCAGCATCCACACAGTGCGTGTTCAAACTCGTTCGTACGACGTTTTGAGCAACAGCAAGAGACTTGAAATGGAAATCACATTACAGAAACACCTGAGCATCGAGCGTGCGTACGTGCTATCAGCTCGAATCCAAGCGATCACACCGATTAAAACTATCACACCGGATTTCCCAGCTATTCCTTTCCTACCTCCCCCATTTACCTGAGACTCGCGCCTACAGACACTGAGAGTAATATGCTACACGATAGACAGATCAAATCAGCTTCGAGTTCACATATAAAGTAACTACGTACAGTTCAGCACCGTGCAGGTGCAACCCGCCTGACACGTGGTCGCGCCAGTGTACCCAATCCCTCCACACTGGCCGTACTGCGCAACACTGCAAGTGGCGGGAGAGGACGTAACCGGAGGCACAGTAGTGGTTGTGGGGTGAGGTGCGCTGGTCACCGGTACTGACGTCTATCATATACAGGTGAGCATGACGGAAATTCCGTACACACACATGGTCAGACGTACGACTGGTGGCGCGGGGGCGACGGTCGAGCTGCCGCTGCCGCCATATAGCGGAGGCCCGGGTATGACGTAGTTAGAGTCGGTCAAAGCCTCGTTAGTGTAGAGGTCACAGTTGATGCCGGGGTCTGCACATGATCGTCCTGTCAGAAGATCGCAGGTATATTAAGAGACGAGAAGCTTGCCAGATGCGCTGTATGCGCCGGGGAACGTGGTGAGCTCCGCCGCTGTCGGCTGCATGTTTCCGCCGCCCACGATGTTGATCTGCGCGCACTCGGGGTAGAATTGCTGCATAAAACATTAGTAAAACACAGTGCAGAAAATAACAAAAAGTCGTGTACCGCCGGGAGCGAGTGCAGCGCAATCGTCTCAAACCGAATCAGGTAGTTTCCAGAGGGGACGGTCGAGGGGATGGTCGTCGTCCAAGACGAGTTTTGCTGGATCATGAGACCAGAGCCCCAAAAGCCATCGCCAATCGTACCGCTGATCAAGCCGGACTGGTCGATCTTGAACCACTTGAGGGTATCTGAGTTGACGCCTGTGCAGGTACTGCCCGGGCACTGCGCGAGATAGACGAACATGGGGCCGTACGGGTGAGGCCATACCTGTCATTTCAAATCCAATTCGTGAGCCTCTCAGCTTGTACGAGTGAATCCCGAACCTGGTTCCAGTATGCAGTAATCTCGGAGCCGGCCTGAACAGTCGCAGTGAGCTGAAGTGCGCCAGAAGTGCCGTTGTCATTGCACGAGAGCGTCGGGTCCGTTGGGTCGGTGATCGGGTTACTACAAGTCACCATCAGCTCCCTCCTGAATTCACATCTGATGCCAGTAACACGGAGACGCACTAGGTAGACCACGGCCTCTGGATGGACGTCTGACCTACTGGACTATTGTACGGCTATGTCCGCATTATTAACGAGGTCATCAGAAAAATGCTACTAGAAGCACTCACAGCCCAGCCCTGGTACCAGTTTCCCGCGTTCAAGTAGGCGAGCACACCACCATGCGCGAGGGCGCGGGGCAGCGTCGCGGATGCGACAGCGAGAAGAGTAGCGAACGCGAACATAGTTTGTGTGGAGGCTGGCTTCAGCTTTCAGATGATCTGGCTCGATCTATGAGCCGCTGTTGAGCATTATCTTTCCTGCGAGGCGAATTTATAGGCGGCTGCATTGTGCGAGATTTTACACGCATGTATTGCTCAAGCAGTTGAGTGCAGCTGTATGACGAAGTGCGGGGCATTGGCAGGACTTGGCCCGGGCTTGGCATGCGGGGTAATTATAGTGCGATTGCCTTGAAGGAGACCCTGGGGGAGAAGCAAGGCTTCGGTACCGGATGATGGGATGTTACGAGTAAATAGACAAATACACCGAGCCGACGGGAGGAGATGACCAATACGATGCTGATCCAAAGGGCGGCGGGATTTCTTCGCCCGGAAACTTTCTTCGTCAAGAAACTCCGACGTTTATGGGTCCGTGGAAGAGAACCAGCTGTGCTTCGTGAGGCCTAGTCGGGACACGTGAGATTCCCTGCGTTGTAAAATCAACGTCTCAGGGACAACGGAGATATATTCGGGCTCAAGTCGGATACGGTGAATAATCAGTGAATGACATAGGAAAAGTCGAGTGAATGCGTAACATCGGCGCAACATCCCCCTGAGAAAAAAATGCTCAATGTTTCACGATAGTTCCTTACGTGTATCGAACAAGGAAGCAGTCGTCTCACCCGTAGGGTCTTGAAGCGCGTGTAGTAGCCCAGGAGAGCTGGGGCATGAAGCTAGCCATGGTCGGAGCACTTCGCCGCATATTCGGAGAAATTAGTTATTCAATACAAAGCGCATCACTCAGCAGGCTCAAACGGAGCTTTCTCTCGGATACAACGCGCACACGAGGGGTCCGCGGACTTTGTTAGATTGACACCTGATATTTTTTATGTGAACAGTTGATCAAGACCTATCAGGACGCCCTGCTAGGGAAGAGCGGGTTTGCCGAAATCCTCTTGTGACAGCAGTGTAAGCCCAGTCGGTAAGACGATAGCCTAAGCGTCATCGTAGTTGTGCGTCAGTCAAAGAAAGAGTAGCTTGACTCGTTCTCCACCCAAGAGGGACGCACTTCTGCAGCGATGATCTGGTAAAGTTCAAACGGTAGACGAAGTGCAAGTCGAAACACAAGGCAGCAAGTGCCGCCCAGACGCCGAGTATAGGCGCCTAATTGACTTGCAAGTACACGACAACTCGTTGTCGACCGTCGCTCCATGCTGTCCGCTTAAGTATAGTACGTTACGTCTATCTATCCGCCTTCCTAGTACCTGAATCAGATACAAAGCAACTGTAACAATAGTCAATCTGACTCCAGCCATTGAGCACCATGGTCGCCGGGTGGCGTGCTAGATTGGAAGGTCGGTGGAGTAGGATGGATTTTGCAACTGGGCCAAACTCACCTCACATTCCATGCTGTCGCTGATGCTTTACAAATCTAAGCCTCACCACGCCTTGCTCAGGGAGATCTGAGAAGAACTCGGTAATGAGCCGTTCCTGTCGCGAATCTAGCTCTTCCGGATCGTCTGAATAGTGCTGGAACTCCACAGTCAACGGTTTCGTATGCGGCCAGTGCGTCTTAAGTCGCGCAGCAAAATCTGTGACGTGTTTGAAGACGAAATCGGATAGCCTTCCGTCGTCTAGTTTAAACCCATTGAAGCACGTCAACTCGATCAGTACTCCGTAGAATCGAGTCGAGACTGCACGGCTCAGAGAAGTTGTGGCAACTATAAGATGATGCGCTGGACCTCGGATACGGAGGATCCGAAGGATGGTGGGACATAGCGACAAAAGGCGCTGGAAATTGTTCTGATCTGTCATAGAAGTAAGACATCGATGAGGTGAGATTGTGGGGACTGCGCACTGATATCCTCTTTCATGTTGAGATCCAGTTGTAACTCTGTTAGGGCTCCGGGCAGAGTAAGCGCTGCGTGTAGCATGTTGCCTATCGTGGACTCCACAAAAGCCCAACATAAAGCTGTAAGCGTCTGCAACCTTGCGCTCGGAAGACATCTGGACACCGCGTAGTGCCACGCCTCGACGCGCAATCGCCGCAGTGGCATTTGCGAGAGTACTTTGGCCGGTTCTCGGCACCTTTGCACCGTCTGCTGCTCATGAGTACTGGCGAACGGCCAACCTGACTGCAGATCCAGAACCTGAAGCTGGCGAAAGAACGACAGGAAGTCGGCGAGCTCCGCGCAGTCGCGGAACTGGTCGTTGAAGGGAAATCCAAGCTCCGTGATAGCGCTGAAAGCACTAGCAACGGGCATATCTCGAGCCCTTTTCCAGCGCAGATGGGAGTAGTAACGGAGTGCTTTCAGGTTTGGGAGTATCCGTGCGATGTCCACGACCGTAGGTATGTTCGCCACGCGGGTGTGAATGAACTCGAGATTCTGAAGATACAGTGTAATATGCGGCGATGATTGGATGAACTGAATCTTGGATAGGTGCACTGTAAGGCGATCGTCTATGACCAGCGATCGGAATACGTGGTATCTGGAGGCTGATAACCATGCGTGGCAAACTAGCGCACAACTACGAAGAGCATTGAGATCGTCATGCAGGAAGTCGATAACTCTGTCCGTCAGCTCTGGAGGTAGCTCGGATGTCATTTGCTGCTGAAGTGTTGTTACAGGACCGTCCCTCCACGAGCATCCGTAATGAACTCTGGGTGTGGAGAGATTGGCATACCTAAATAGAGTGGGCAGTGTGCACCACGTAGACAATCGAGGCTTCTGGGTCTTGCTGAGAGTGAGCTAGGATGAGCAGGGACCAGTGCTGGAGCGGCGGCGAACAGGCAAGAGTTTACACAATATTGCAGTTATGGAAATTGAACAACCGTCGGCGTTCTACAACTGGCGCGGGAAGGCGGCTAGCCTGTCGATGCGCTGCAGACTTCTTGCTCGTCGTGGGCGGAATGAGTATCAAGCACACTCTCGCATTACTTATGCACGGGAAGACGAGAAGAGACTACTGAATCTGATGTATCCTCCCTGCGTGAATCCCAATGATTGACGCGAGCGATAAGAAGCAATGTGTGGCAGTATCGTTTGCCCATGGAAGTTGTCGTAACTTGTAGACTGAGGGAGATTCGGCGCCGAAACTTGAAAGCCGCGCGAGAGGCGTGGAAGTCTTTCGTGCCGTACAGCTTGACCAGGCTAGAACTCAGGAGATTATTTCAGGTGCTGGCGAGCACCGGGAGGCTGGGGCAGATTGGCGGACAAGAATCGCCGGTTCAGGCTCCTACCACATACTTAATACACAATGTGTTGTCGTTGGCTCAATGGTCTAGTAGTATGATTCGCGCTTCGGGTATTGTTCTCCCTCCGGCGATCCTATGCGCGAGGTCCCGGGTTCAATTCACGGTTGAGCCCTGTATTTTTTGAATTTCTTTTTGTTTTGATGACCTGCTCGAACCTCGGAACGCTAATACAATATGTTTCAAAAGTAATTTTCACTGGTAGAGGTATACACAGCAAAACGTACAGGCCTGTGTATGCTTCGCTCGATGCATCCATAGACTTGTACGTGCTGCTGCTTTGTGACGGTCCTTATCACTGAACTGTCCGCCGCAACTTGAGTGCTGAGTAGTTTTACACTGTACCTGCTACCTCACTCTGCTTATATACGACCCGCGAGCCGTCCATTGGCGCACAATACTCATCAGTAATTTTTTATCCCGCTCTTCGGTAACTACACATGGCACAGGTACCCTACGCCCAGCGAGCTATTTCCCCGATCGCGCGCCCATAGACCAGTCTGGGAGGTGCGTGGACCTCGTGTTTCCGATGGCTGCTTCGGCGGTGGTACGACGGCGCAGCGGCAGAAGTGGCGAGATTCCTTTCGCATTGCGTTCCTGCGAACCCAATCTCCCGAAGCGACATCAACTGAATTGCGGACGGGCTACGCGGGAGGCACATCGCGGCGGGAGCGCAAGAAGGGTGAGAAAGGCTCGCCTCCGCTCCTCCGGCTCGCGCAGGGTTCGCGGGAGCGCACAGCACCGTGCGCGGCACGCAAAAGTGAAAGTATCACGTACTCGACAAACTGCTCGTCGACGTGCTGCGGAGGGCTGATTGACAGCGTCGGGAGGTCAAGAGGACGTAGTCGCACCATATGATCGCGAGGTGTGCGGCGCTGGAAGAGAAGCGGTGGCGCTCCCGAGGCAGTACTCTGTCCTCGCTGGCACCTTATGCGGGGAGAACGGACAGCGTCGAAGCTTGTCACGCGGGAGGAGATGTCATGATGAGTGTCACTTGCTTATGACAATACGCAATGGGGAATCTGTGGGTATTCATAGAAACCAGAGTACCGGAGAGTACGGCCGATGGGTGCCCTGATTTCGCTGGAGAGTAATCCTAGCATCTTGACGTATCTTTTTCCACGCAAAGGAGCGCGTCAGTATGAGTCCGGGGTGCTTACTGATGCGAGTCGCGGGCCTTCCGGAAGCGCACAACAGAAATCAGAGCGCCAGAACAACCGGTCAGCTGCGTTCGCGGTGAGCCCTGTGTCTGAATTGAGGATGGTGGTAGCCTCGATGTGCCTCCTACCATATAATTACGGACGCTGGGGATCAAATGACACATCGCGGAAAGGTCCGCCGGCCAAGAAGCTCTGAACAACAGTGCAAAAAGAAAAGAGCATTTCGCAAGGCAGCGGATGCCGCTGCGGTGCCGCCAAAGACAGGGCAGTGAGGTAAAGCGGCGGCCGTCCAACTATAGCTGCTATGTCCATGGCGAAAAGATGGGCTCAGCAGGAGGTTCTCCTGTCGCTGGCGCTTTCACTGGATGCCTGCGCCGCCGGAAAAATAAATGCTGCTGGAGGCTGGGCGCATGCAGGTTCCAGACCGGTGCGTCGGTGGTCAGAATCAAAGAAAACATCGTGCAGATGGTTGAGGAGGGTGTTCCTAGTCTTGGCCGTGGCGTAGGCGGGCGCTTGGCTGGAGCCGGGTAGGCTGATAATTAGGCGACTGGGCGTTGTCTAATCAGATAAGAGAGAGCATGCGGACTATCTGATAAGATTTGATTGACTCGTCGGCAGAGCGGTGGCGGGCGGCCCTGGCATCCTCTGTCTGACTTCTTGATCATATTTTCCTAATAATGCATCACACGCAGCTCTCTCCTCGACGCTTGGTCCCGCCTGCACATATAAATCGATATGCCGCCCCAAGGTTATACCCGCCTGCCTCAGGACCCACCCGGTGAACCCGCTCCTGCTCCCGCACGCCTGCGAGGTGGCTGATATCCAGATGTCTTCTCTTTCTCACAAAGATGAAGCCTCGGCGCGCGATATAGACCTCGGCGCTCGCAGCGACGAGGCCCCCCGCCTCGCCCCCGAGGTTCTCGAGGAGCTCGAGGCGGAGGAAGACGCACACGTCGGTGTGAAGAAGGTCGAGGCCGCAGAGAAGGTCTACGGCCGGTATTCGAAGTGGTTCCTCTTCATCGGGTGAGTCGTTACGCGTACGTGTACCCTTTAACGCCCGTGATCTCATCGTACCATCCTGGCAGACTCGGCCTTGCGTCGTACATATACTCTCTAGACGGCTCCACGACCTATTCCTACCTTGCCTTTGCCACTTCTACCTTTGGCGGGCACAGCTTGATCAGCTCGATCCAGGTCGCCCAGTCCATCATTGGTGCGTTCTCTTACGTCTTTGACCGATCGTGTCAGAACCTCATCTGCTTCGCGTACGCCAGTCGCTTGTGGAAAGCCTGTGATTGCTAAATTGGCCGACGCGACGTCGCGTGCAACTGCATATCTCGCCGTCCGTAAGTGGCCCGCCCCGTCTTGCTTCTTGCGTGCAACTGACCTTCCACATTTGGCTTCCAGTGATCTTCTATGTTGTCGGTAAGTCTCTTGTCGCGAGTCGTGCACACGAATCTCACGGCAGATGCAGGTTACATCGTCATCGCATCCGCACACAACGTCGGAACCATTGCGGGAGGAATCATTATCTATGCTGTCGGCTACACGTATGTCACTGCGCTTCGCTCGAGTGCCCGTCCTCTAACAGTCTCCGTCCAGCGGTCTGCAGCTCCTTACGCAGGTCGTCATCGCCGATATCACCGTCCTCAAGTGGCGTGGGCTCGTCTCTGCACTCATGTCTGCGCCGTTCATCATCAACGGCTTCATCGGCTCCAACATCTCCTCGGCCGTCATCGAGCACGCCGGTTGGCGCTGGGGCTGTGCGTCTCTTACTCCCTTCGTTCTGCATAACATGGACTAACTTGACGCCGCGCGCAGACGGCATGTTCGCGATCCTCGTTCCGGTCTCCCTCTCGCCACTCATCATCACGCTCTTCTGGGCGGAGCACAAGGCAAAAGTCCTTGGACTCGTCTCACTCCCCGAGGGTGCCATCGAAGTTGTCGCGACGCGCAAGGTCCCGCTAGTTGAGAAGATCTGGCGCTTCACGGAGCAGCTTGATCTCGTCGGTCTTGCCCTCCTCGGTGCAGCAGTTGCGCTCATCCTGCTGCCCCTCACGCTCAGCCAAACCGCGAAGGGCGGATGGAACAATGGTACATTCGGCTCTGTGCTGTCCGGTTCTGTTAGATATTGACGGTCTCTTGCCTCAACCCAGGATCGATGGTTGCAATGCTCGTGGTCGGCGTTGTCTTGCTTGGTGTCTTTGCTGTGTGGGATCTCCGTTTCGCGTCACGACCGGTCATTGCAAGGCGGTTCTTGAGTAACATCGCAGTCGTCGCAGCCGCGTGGATTGGCTTCTTTGACTTCGTACGTTATCCCTATCATGATTTCCATTCAACTTACTCACGTATCTCTTCATCAGGTTTCATTCTACCTGACTTACACGTACCTGTTCTCCTTCGTCTTGGTCGTTAAGCCATGGTGCGTCTATCCTGGTTACTGTAAGCTCTCCGTGACTGACACTTTGATCTGAAGGTCGCTCGTTAATGCTAACTACTTCGCGTCGACTCAGACCGTCGCGTTGACTGTCTTTGGCATCCTCGCCGGAGGCTTGATGAGATATTTGCGCCGCTACAAGGTGTGCCCTGCCTTCATTCCTCCTTACTGTCAACTCATGATGGTGTTCTGCAGTACCTTCTCGTCATCGGTCTTTGCATTCGTCTCCTTGGTGTCGGCCTGATGATCCACTCCCGCGGTGCAGAGGGTTCAGATGCCGAGCTCGTCTGGACACAGATCCTACAGGGCATGGGCGGAGGGTTCGCCGCTGTCGCCTCCCAGGTCGGTGCGCAAGCCTCTGTGACGCACGTTGACGTCGCTATCATCACCGCTGTCGTCCTCCTCTGGACCGAGATCGGCGGTGCCGTTGGGAGCGCCATTGGTACGTCACTGCAGCTCCCCTTGCTCTTGTGGACGTTCTTCATACCTCACCTTGTCAGCCGGTGCGATCTGGACAAACACGATGCCCGAGAAGCTCGAGAAGTACCTGCCCAACCTCTCACAGGCAGAGCGCGACGAGCTCTTCGGTAGCATCACAGATGTCACGGCACTGCCGCGGGGCGACCCTACGCGCGAGGGCGTTATCTCCGGTGCGTCGCCACCCCGTCTCACACAGCTGCTCACGACTGAGTTTGTATTTCTGCCAACAGCTTACAGCGACGTAATGAAGATCATGGTGATCACCGCGACGGTCATTAGCGTCGTGCCGATCGTCCTGGCGCTCTTCATGCCCAACTGGTACCTCGGCGATAAGCAGAACGCCGTCGACTCCGCGGACCTCACTGGCGAGCGGCGAGCGGACTCTGACGAGCCGGAGCGGCCACACGCTTGAAGCTTTTCATAATCAGCACTGGTAAACCTTTTGATTTCATCGTGGCGAGCGATGTAAAAGTAGATATCCCATTCCTTCTTTTGCGTACATACCAGTATTTACTGCTAATTCTATCGCCATGTCTGCCCTCCCACGTCAGCATACTTTCCTACTACCACTGCTACATGGATGGAGTAGAAGTTAGCGACAATGCGCTACAGAACCTTTCGTTTTACGTTCTATCTTTCGGGGGCAGGCACGCGCCGCTTTGCTTGGCGGAGCGCCGGAGATTGCAATCGCGCTGGCACCCTTCTCTGTTGTACCTGGATCCATACGCACGGATACGCAGTCTATTCGGAACAACCTTACTAGTTCATGGGCAGTAGTGCGGATTCCAACTTTGTGCCGGAAGTATTCTGGATCGTTGCATTGGCCATACGGATGTAATGAGACATGCGGGAAACTCCGGGCGCTGCCTCCCGCGGTCACTTGACCGCGATTTCGTTCTTTGTTGCACTCCATGCGCTCGTATACCATTCGCTATGAAGTACTGTTTCACCTGCAAAACCGCTTGGAGCTCCTTGACTGTGCTCGCTGTGCAGCAAGAAGTTCGGACTGGTCGAACATTCGCGGCCAGGCCCCGCTCG